TGTAGTGGTAGTCGGCCGTTTGGTGTAGTGGTTCGAAACGGACTACTATTCCGGAGGTAGCGGGTTCGATTCCCGCACAGTACAAACATTTTTGTGCATGAACATATTTGTTTGTATTGGACTGGGTGTTTTGTTTTCTATGTATAATAAGTATTTATTTACAAAAAAAAAGTATGTTTATATCCGTTGTCTAGTACCCATAGTACAAGCTTTGCTTGGTTTGGGACTAGAAGCGCAGTGTAAAATGTCCAAGGATATTTATTTATTTATTTATTCACAGGTTGATGTGCCGATGATGGGTCATGCTGAGTGCGAGCGAAGATTCCAGCAAGCCCCTTCGCTGGGACCAGGGTTCCGGTTCCTCCCCTCCCTCACCTGTGCAGGGGGGGAGGGGACCCGCAACCTCTGCGGGGGAGCGGGGGGTTCACCCCTAGTGTGCCCCATGGAGGTAAAAACTTCATTTACTAAACGTTCAAAAGTTTCTTCAATACCAATCATGACAAAGATATTTATTTAATTTTTAGCGTTAAGAGTCGCATTTCAAACTAATTTGGTAAGTAGAAATTGAAAAAATCGAACTGCCTTAGGCGGGAATTGAACCCACGACTTTCCGCTTGCCGGGCGACTGCTCTGCGCGAATATAGTGTTGTGTATATGACGGCTATTGNTCGGTTGAAAAATCGAACTGCCTTAGGCGGGAATTGAACCCACGACCTTCCGCTTGCCGGGCGACTGCTCTGCGCGAATATAGTGTTGTGTAATATGACGGCTATTGAGTTCGTTTCAGTTTCAGCCAACTGACGTCCACTGCTGGACAAAGGCCTCCCTCAAAGATTTTCATAACTACCGGTCTTGCGCTGCCCGCATTCAGGTACTTCCCGCGATCTTCACCAGATCGTCGGTCTACATAGTAGGGGGTACCCCTGTCCAAACTACGTCTTCCGGCCCGTGGTCGCCACTCAAGAACTTTTCTGCCCCAGCGGCCATCAGCTCAGCGAGCTATGTCAGTCACTTTGGATGACTTTGGTTTGCCTGCAGATCTCCTCATTTCTGATTCGATTACGTAGATATACTTTGATGTTCATTTATTCACAATCAATTTGCAACAAGAAGTACCCTGGTCATCATAAAAATCGACCCACCCGCGACAAGCACTTTCAAACGTAATGCATCCCCACTTCCCACCAATATTACTATACTATATTACCATTTAAAAGCCTAGTTAGAAACTTCATTTCATTAAAGGAAAGGTTTTTACCCCAAAAATGTGTCTGTAGAAGAATCCAGAGTCACTTCTTCAAAAAATAGGTAGTTACGCTTGAGCCAACTTTTATGGCTATAAAACTGTTAAGTTAGTATTAATCGCTATCCATCTGTTAAAGAGGACACGTGAAATCATTATTTGGTTTTATAACCATAAAAATTGGTCTAATTGATCCCAGAGGTGCGCCCAAAGTGAGGTCCTTTTTCAAGTTTTTCAAGTCACATTTATTGTATATGTTAATCGTTTATTAGGAAAATAAATGTGTTTTTCTTTAAGGATATTTATTGGGCTTTCAAATAACACCAATATTGTTGGGGCACCATGATTGTGTCAGCAGAAATGAGTTTTCCTGTAAAACGTAGGTGGGCCGATTTTTGTGATGACCAGTGTAGAATCATTCAGTTTTTAAGGATGGCGTATGTCTAGTCCTCACGTCCATAGTCAAGCTTGGCTCAGCTCAATGTGTTTGATTTTTGGAATACTTTGTTCCAGGGTCAGCCAGGCCGTTTCTTCCAGATTGGTATCGTGACCTGGACAACTGATTGCGGCAAAGACGGCGCCCCAATGGCCTTCGCAAACGTGGCTGCAGTCAGGCCCTGGCTTGATGAACAGCTGGACAACTTTGTGAAAGAATTAAGCATAGGAATGAATTAGATATACTGAAAAAACTATCACAATACTGATTTTTCCAAATGCGTCGACATCTTTGGGAGTTGTAAAGATTTTAAAGATTATAAGACAAACAAATTTATATTATAGCAAAATCTCGAGTTATAAGGAATCATTAATTGGAAACCTGTTTATTTAGTTTTAAGATTAATTCATTATGTATTTAGTAGCTACTATTTTGTCTCTTCCACATACTAATGTTGCTAATAATGTATAAATACACCTGATTGTAACTGTGTCTTACGAGTTTTATTTTTTATCCTTTCCCAGTAGTCACAGTCATGTATTGTGATAAGTATCACACACGATCAGGCAGGCATTGATCGCCATCGCTGCACGCCGACTGATCGCGTGTCGCGAGATATCAGGGTCATACTCAATAGCCCCGTGCTGCTTAACACTAAGCAGAATAAAAAGTTGGCGTACAGATAATACTACCCAAGTAACATTTTACTCCATTTAAGAGTTCACATTTAGTTCCAATGTGTACTTAAAGCATTAGTACAGTTCACTCGTGATGTATAAGCTGTATTATTGCAATTAATTACACCTATACCTGTCTAAGGGACTTATAGGAGTGTAGACTAGTGTAGAGTTATACTTTTATACGATTGTTGGTGTTATAATACTCTAACAACTATCCTTTAGTCAGCCGTCTGACTAAGAGCATTATAGGAGGGTAGAGATACGGCAACTGCTGTTTAACGGCCTACTTGTACGATATTATAGAGCTAGCATTTTAATAGAACACACGTGGTCATTTATAAAGCCAAAGGCTGTTATGTTTACTTGTTTTAGACTGTTATACAGCTAGTAGCTGTAGTAGGACTTGTTTGTGTTAATAAAATAACCTTTTTTTACTATCTGTACAAAAGTGTTTCAATGGTTCGCATGTGCACTGTAGGCTGTTAAGCATACCCTGAAGAAGAAAGTGTATTGAGAAAATGTTGATGTTTAATTCATTAAAATGCATTTTTATCATGTCTAAGATAGTCAAAATTCGAGAAAATTACTGCAAAAAAACAGGTCACAACTCATAATCTAAAAGTCATTTGGCAACATAACCTACTTTATACTTAAGAAGAAACATAGTACTATTATTGNTCGTTCTGTTGAAGTGACACGTGAATACGGATTTTGAACTGATTTTCAATAGGACGGCTTCTAAACGACAACGAGATTTTGAGTGTGTCCAAATACGTGAATTAGGCTACAGAAGTCTCGCTGACGTGAAATGCCACAAAAACATCCCCCCCCCACAGCTCAGGCACGGACTCAGTTAAGCAGTAGACTTAAATAATAAAGAATTTGAATTTGACAAACCGTTCTCCCCATCATGCGACACCAGCGCCATCTTCAGATGCGTGCTGGCCAGGACCCTGTTGAAGTACCCTTCGGCCGAGCACACCTCAAATCGGATGAGCTGGCATAAGTTTGGGAACATCTCCACGATGGACACCTGCTCGCAGTACATCGGGTGGTCGTTGCGGTGCTGGACTGCGGTTTTTACCTGTTGATCCAAAAAAGGTAACGAATATCATGAAATTAATGGTTGACAAGCTCAATGTCTTCCTTTGTTAAACTGTTTACCTAGTAAATGTGTGTCAAATTGTGTATTGACATGGTTATTTAATTTATTTTTACTTTGATGCCACAAAATTGGAATGATTTTATTGGTGCCATATGGCAAACTTAAGGCCATTGGGCTATCTGCCAGGTTAGTTTGGAGCTAAAGAGCAAAATCATAATGACAATTTGCTAATTACCGGGCAAAATATTAAGTAATCTTACTTACTTAGTTTTTTGTCAAGGTCTCTAAGAATAGGTAGGTAAGTTAAATTGGTAAGCCAAAATTACCGCAAGTCCACAGAAAGAAACTCTGACAAAGGTGCTGGGCAATTTCCCATATCTCCTGTCGCCGTGGCAGTGGGTTCCACTGGGCAGCCCAAAGGCACCATACACCGTGATGAGGTAGTTAGCAGTTTGCTGTTCAGAAGTTGAAGAGAGAAGGAGGTTTCTGGAGGAATGGGTTGAACCTTAGGGTATACTTATAATAAGGAGAATTAACTAAAGTATTACTTAACAAATTAATAATTATGTTAGTGATAATATAAAGCGAGGGACCACTATAATACGTCGTTATTTTAAACAATAATTACCCATCAACATTTTGTTGGTTCAATATAGCAGGCATGACTTGTACTTCTCCACGAAATATTATTGAAATGTCAACTTTTAGAAAACCGACCGGCCCTGCTGTTGGATCCCTCGGCAACGTCAGTTGAGCCCACTTGTGGAATACTTGATGATCTAAACAAATGTAAAAAAATAAACGATAGTAACTACATTGATATTATTTTAACTAGCGGCCGCCCGCGACTTCGTACGCGTGGATCCCGTTTTATCCCCTTTAAATTTTTCCTGAATTTTCTTTACTATAAACCTCACGGAGCCCGAGACCTTTCCAACGAATGCAAAACCGTGGAAATCGGTTCGTGCGTTCTGGAGTTATATCGTCAGGAAGGAAAACCCGACTTATTTTCAACCGACTTCAAAAAAGGAGGAGGTTCTCAATTCGACCCGTATGTTTTTTTTTCTATGTTTGTTACGCGATAACTCCGCCAATTATGAACCGATTTGAACAAATCTTTTTTCTGCGTATAGGTAATACCTCAAGGGTGGTCCCATTTAAATTTAATAATAGAAAAAACAATCCCCAAGGGTGGAAAATTGGGGATGAACTTTTTATACGCAATATCTCCGCCGATTATAAATCAATTTGAACGATTATTTTTATGTTGAATAGGTATTATCAAAAGGGTGGTTTCATGCAAATTTGAAGAAAATATTTCACCCCCAAGGGTGGAAAATTGGGGATGAACTTTTTTATACGCAATATTTTCAATTTTTAGTTTTTTTTGTGTTCACGCATTTGAAGTCGGTTTTATTTTTTTTTAAAGTTAATTATTTATAGTAGATAGTATTCGGTTTAGGATTAAGATAAGTAAGAAAACCAATAATAAACTACACTTTTACACAGTATGAATCGCTTGGGGTAAACTTTGCTCTATTTTATGTGTAGGCGTTCAATGTTCTCAATGAGTCTAATTTGTGAATAGACACCTTTTAAAAGTATAGAATATAGTAATATTAATAGAAATATTTCCGCTTCAATATAGTTCCAATGCTAAGGTTAATTTTTATTATCCTTGTTCTAGTTAATATGTGGGTTTAATCCTTAGAGCCCTCTTAATATCAAAATATTGTATATCAACTTTAGTTACCGACACAACTTCTTGAGAAATAAATATACCCAGAGCAAATCATTTAATAGCATTGATATTTTATATGATTTACATTAAACGTACTTAGGTATTTTATAGTGAGGCACTTACACGTTATCATAGAGAGGATATAGGAATTATTCGTATTGACTACTGATAGTCCTTTTTTGCCAATATTAGCACAGTTTAAGTAACAAGTAAGTCATATTTCTCAAACCAAAAAGTTAATATTTTATGAAAAAGCCCAGCTATCCGAACTACCTACATAGAATTGTCTATAAAAATATAAAACTTACGTGGTTGAGCCCATATTGTGCCCAAGTCAATCGTAGCCTCGCCTATCAGCCGCGAAGGTGCACAACATCTGGGCTCCATGACCGCCAGCCACAAGCTAGACCTTTGCAGGTCCTGGATACTGGCATACATCTCGTACATGAATGACTGTTAAACAATAAGAAGTTGTTGAAAGCATAAGTTACAGCGTGACTGACAAAAAAAGAAGCCGTATGAAAGTCATTAGGTATATGAAAAAACTGGTGCAAATCCTTTAACAAATTAATATTTGTATGTTGGATACTCTTCTGTTCATGCTTATGATGAAACTTAACAGTAGCTATCTGTGACAAACACAAGTTATCAAAGAAATAATTATTTTATGGTTGATAATTCAACTAAATGAATGAGCTCATAGAATCAGTTTGTTAATAACTTTTGAGTGCAATTCGTATGGTTCGCTACGACGCCTACGATTTTATAATAGCAATGTTTCACGTAGCTGCGCTTTATTTATCACTAAAGTACAAGGTATTGAATATATTGAATATGGTATATTCTTACTTGTCGTGTATTTGTTAAGCATTCATTTTATTTATTTTAAAATATTCGTGTGTGTAGTATAAAATACTATTAATTACTTAGTAGGAAGGTAATAAAACTTACCTCTTTATAATATGGCTCATCCATATTCCTTCTGATATTGGATCGGTACTTCTTTTTACCGAGGACTACAACCACGTATGAGTTGGCCGAGTGTGGATTCGACCACGCCAGTTTTCGGGCTTCCAGCACATTCACTAATATCTGGAAATTTAAACAATATTCTGTAGACGACAGCACAAAATTATCTGTGTTCTAAAAACTGTGGCACCTTATTTGGTTTGGTTATAATGATTGCTGTTTTGCAACAAAAAATGTACCTATAGTTTGACGTGCGGTTGATTGCAAAAAATATTTTTTTGCGAAAGCTATAAATTGCAAAGCTATGCGAATAAAATAACTTTCACAATAATAGGTAGGTACATTAGTTTCGAATATTATATTATCAAAAACCTTATTTAGGGTGGCATTTTTCCAATATGGCGCAAAGTTGAAATTCGGAACGAGCACACTGAAATCTATAAAAACACCAATTTTCAAAACTCCCGAAGAATTAGAGGTTGCCGATTCGATTCTCGTCGACTGCCGGAATATTATGGTTAACCTACTCATAACAAGAGTTAATAAGTACTACCCCGTTCGAACCAACGAAAAACACTGAAATCTATAAAAACACAAATTTTCAAACTCCCGAAGAACTAGAGGATGCCGATTCGATTCTCGTCGACTGCCGGAATATTGTGGTTAACCTACTCATAACCCCTGGCGGCTTACGGCCTGCGCCCGAGAAACAGATTCCGTGAAACAGTTAACAGTTTCCGAGTAGGTATGTGCGGAACTGTATTAACAAAAGGCTTGTTATTGACCAGTTAACGGTAATCTTGTTTTCAAAAGTAATTACACTTCCTGGCTCTTTTAACCGTTATTTTACTTAATTTGCCGGGAATCCTGAAGGCGCGTGTTTTTATGAAAACAAGTAAGGCGACCCGATATTCAAATAACTACAAACTCAGTTTTAAAGTCCAAAGACTGCGGTCTAAAACTGGATGTGGTTTGATTTATTGCTTATTGTATGGTAAGCAAAAACAGATATGGGTATCGACGAAGATTTATATCGCTGGAACTGCCCGCCCCTTTCGATATAGGTAACTACGACTACGTTAAATAGGTAATCTTTAAGATCACGAATTACGTCTATAATCGCTGTAATCATAGAAGAGCTTGCAGTATGGTTAGCATGGACGTCATGTGACTGAATACGTTCGAATATTTAATACGTTTGAGATTTTTCGAATACGATGAAAAAGTAACGAGAAAGATTTTGTTAAAAGTTTAATTTGTTTTTAGAGTTTACAACAGGATAGCCCAAAATAATCCCAATTTAAGATCTCTAAACCGTTCTTTGCTATTTTTGGTTCTTACAACATCGCACCCTTAACGCAGGCCTCACTTAACCCTCAGACGGCCGCTACATGCTTGAGTACCTACCCCTGTATTCGGCCCTCCGTCCGTTTGAAGCTGGAGTAACTCTTCAGGCTACCAGCGCGGCCCATCCGAAATAAAGCACTTAGCTATGCAATACCATTTTCTGCAATCCCATTTAGGTGCATACTTGCAGTTTGGTCTATATTTTTTAATTTTCTGGTCAAACAATGCAGGTCATCGCTCACTGTGCTTTGGAAATTTATGCTCGGTGTTTCACTGTGAAAGTGATTTAGGAAAACATGAGGCTAGCAAGTAATTGTTCAGACTTGGCATTGCATCAGCATAGAAATAAATGTCGCAACATGAAGAACAGACGACCAATGTAGACAGTGTAAAGGTTCGTCCACACCAAACCGGCGTGCACGATGGCGATGGCGATCAGATTAATTTAACGCATTGATTGCCACCGCTATCGCGCGTTGGTTTGGCCGAACTTTTAAGCCCTAAACCTACCGAATGGATGGACGATCAGATTTGGCTAGACCACTTGATCAATCCCAGTGGGTAAGGCCTGATGATGATATTAAGTTTAACCTGCACCCATCTAAGAGTTTATAGAACCAGCTAGTGCCAACAGGCTGCAGCCTGAACTGACCCTGCAAAAAGATCTAGCAGCTAATAAGTTTTAAATCTTTGGCTACAATAAATAATTTATGAGAGACCTGAAAGTATTGTGGCATCGCTTCCTGATTGTGTTCGTTTTCGACTCGGAACGACGCGCGCGCCGCTTTTTGCCGGCGCCGCCTATCGGGGGAGCGGCTGTACATTTTTAAACGATATTAATTAAATATATGAACGGTTTAATTAGAGAGAAGAACTGACTGAAATGTCAAATAAATCAATGACATGTCAATACAAACCATCAGCAGGCAAGCCATAGATTTTTGTCGAGGTTTTTTGTGGCATCATTGTTGTCATAAATATTGAGTTGCAAAGAGTTTTATGTCATTTCTGGCGTCTGTTTTTTTATTTTGATCTTTTTGAGTGCCAATATAAGCTGTGGCAGTCGTGACTGAGGAGCTCACGAGCATACTGCCCAATCTATTTATGTAGAATAGGTAACTCTTCTCACCCTATACGAGACTAGTTATGAGAATACCTACTTTAGTTGTAGAAAAATTCAGCCCCAATAGCTTATAGCGATCGAGCTTACTTGTCATTGCAGCTGAGATTGCATTTCTGTCTATAATATCGCATAACGTGCCCTCCGGACTTCCGAAACATATCTTATTTATTTGTTTTCCGAGAATTCTATTGATTCGTGTCAATAAAATTCTACTCAACGTTATTTTGCTAAATTTTCTGGGAATTCGTATTGTTTTATAAACTGGTAAGGCGACCCGCATTCAATAATAAACGACTGCGGTTCAAAACTGCTTCCGAAGCACTGATTGAGGATTCTATTGATTCAAGTCAACTCTACTTAAACAATAATTAATAGAATAATATTCCTATATTATACAGGGTGTTTCTTGTAAGGTGTCAAGCCAAAGGCAGGTGATAGGTGAGGACTAGACCTATCGATTTCACCCCCATGTATGTTCTACGATTTTTCGTAATTTAGAAGTTATCGATAATTTTGTGATTTTTTTAAATTTTATGACCTAGTAGGCTTTAAATTTTTTTATCTTTTTTTTAGGTTAACTTTTCTCAGATTTCTTTTTTTTGACAGATTCCCTAGTAATTGCAGATGTTTGAAAAAAAAAATCACCTTCCTATCTTTGATGCAAGATACAAAATTTTTGCTAGAAAAATAAAAAATATGCTTTTAGCAGAANAAACACCCTGTATAATACTCCTATACTATTAATAGGTATTCTCTAAATAGATACGAGTAAAAATCATTATTACTTCTTCAACGAAATTGTAGTAGGTAATCATTTCTAGATTTTCTGAGTATCACTAATTTTCACAGACACATAATTAATTACGTAACTGATTTAATACAGGTCGTTCTTCAAAAGTTACGTGGGACATAAATTTAATGTAGGTACCTACTATGACTTATAATATCAAGGCTGTAGAAGTAGATCAATCGCATCAAACCCATATTTTATTTGCATTTCTGTCCGTTCATTAAAATTTTGGTTTTAGCCATAAATCCATGAAAGATATTTTAACAAGCTGGCATTCGATTGCGCTGACCGCCACCGAATCGAATTCTTACTTTGTTTAGTCGATAAATAATCTATAGTCAAGATCGATTCGACATAATTTCGTGTCACATGTGTGAACGGGTGATATACGAGTCTATTAGTCCGTTATGGGTTCGGCAGGAAAACCACACTGTAAGAAAAAAAGAGCAAGTTATTTTTTATGGCGTGTGCGCGTTGTTTTTTCGTTCGGTAGTTGAATGAATGAATGAAAGAAAGATGGACATGTTTTAACTCGATCCTGAACTGAGTTTTCAGAAACAAACTGAAAAATGTTTGTGGAGATCACCCCACAAAGTGTGGTGGTAGTGTGTTGGCTACAAAGGCTCTATGCATAGTGTGGTAGTGTCTAGTAGGTCCTAGTGGAGCTTTCTTGATACAAAGCTCGACTAGCACAACATTGTGAACACATTTCGAACTCCTCCTATGTTCTTCTGATTAATTTCGTTGCGGGTCCAATGACAGTTTAACTTTCCCCCGGGACAAACTTGACCTTCATTGGTTGGGTTTTTGTGGCGGTCAAGCTGTAGATCCTGGCTACACAGGAGTTGCAGTGGTGGGAACGAGAGGTGGGAATAGTCCCGTAGCACATTGTAGCCAAGACTAAGCTGACCTAAAACCCTCTTCAGTAGATAACAGGTAGGTTAGTACCTAACTAACAACAGAATAGCTTTCTCCTGGTACTTCGTCGAGTTTACTCAGCCCTCTTGGAAATCTGTGGGTGGATTTCGACGCTCTTGTATATTATCTTGGCTTGCGGGTAAGGCTTATTCCTAAAATAATAGAAATCCAAAGGACGAGTGATACTGTTGTCTTACTCCAGGAATACAGACAAAGAAATCTAAATGTGCACATTGTTATAATAATAGTATGTAGTATTAACTCGAATCTAGTTTTACATTTAACATAGGTGTCTTTGTAGTCTCGGTTTGAACGGGTTATAATCAGCAATAAAACAAAACCAATAATTTGATAATTTCAATATATTAATTCATTCTCAAGTATAAATATGTCATACAACTACGTCTACTAAACTACGTAACTTATCCAGCTTTAAAATGATCTACTTGGTTTGACACATCTTAAGGATAGGGGATTTACTTACTAGATATACAGGGTGTGGTTATTATTAATTTTACAAAGTGTCACGAAGAATATTTTATAGTATTAGATATTAATTATGAGTATGTCCATCAGTAAAAAAAGCATCTTTCTACTGTGTTTATGAAATTCACACCAGGTTCCATACGAGACAGTTAAAGAGTAGGAAATATTTCTATTGATAATATTTGATGTCGTCACATTACGTCCACAAACACCCACGTTCCAACACCCTGTATGATACTTAAATATTACAAAATACTTCAAGTTAAGGTTACAGTTACGCGGTCGATTTTTAGAGATTAATCAATAATTTTACTCCTATTGTGTAAACTAGCTATGAAATGGATTCTGAAGGACTTTGGAACTTGTATTTTAAATCTGCATGCATCACAACTACGAAAAGACACCGCTCTTTAAATTAAATTGAGTATTGAGTAAATTAAATGTCATTTACTACGTTACCATAATGAAATGTTAACCTGGTAACAGAGCCTTAACATAAAGTAGGAAGTTTAATTAGAATAGGTATAGGAGAACTTATTTACATACAAATCTCTATTTAATATTTCAAATATGATTCCCAATATTGTCTGATGTACCCAAAATGATTCGATGTTCTGAGACGGGCATTAAAAATTCGGGCCACCTAATTTACTTACACCAGAGTCATACTTATTATTATTCTGTGCTTACACTTCGTTTATTAATTTTGAGTGTTACAAGTCTGTTTTTAATTAAATATATTATATTCAATCGGTTACAATGAAGCATTCATTTAGTCATTAATAAGTCAATAATGAAGTCATTATGGAAGTCATACAAGATATTAATTGAAACTAAAAATCCGTTATCATTAAAAGTTCCCTAAATTCCGCAAGACAACTCTCGCAAACTTATTTTAAGTACATTTATTATAAAGTGCTACTAGAAGGTACTACATTTAACACCAATATCCACAACGTTTCTATTCTAGGAAAAGCCGGGTACTGAAGCGGCACTCAAGTGTGGCTTAAATAATTATTAGTATCTGACTAATCTCAAGACATAAATGCGTACGTAATAGAAAAAAAATGTAGAGTACAGTTACACACTTTTTTTTAAGTACGGGCTCTACAGCCTCGCCAAAACAGCGTTTTATGTGACAAAAGACAAAAACGAGCGAGGATGATGATTATCTTGCGGTAAGAGAAAAAAAGCCTTTGTCCAGCAGTGGACGTCTTTCGGCTGAAACGAACGAACGAAGAGAATAGAAGAAGATGAAAAATAAAATATGTTTTTCTGTTATGAGGTCTTATGCATGTGTCTGACAAAATAAATATAGGTACTATTAATAACTTATTTCTTTTTCTGATGAACTGGGGATAGACTTCAAGGTGTACATATAATTAAAAAATCTGTTTTAGATAATGCAGTTAACCTTGATATTCATTTCAGTACCCGGCTGTTAGTTTACTAACAGATAAATAACTAACTTTTGACTAGTATCACTTCGTTTAACAATAACTTAGCCTACAAGTGCCCAAAGGAATGTATTTCACACCGTTTAAATACCAAGCTTAGATAAAATTATACGTATGTACTTAAGTAACATCGTTTACATTAAATATTTACAAGTCAGGTAAATAAATCTTATAATATCAGCTAATAAAGATATAATTGAATTTTTAGATTATTTTTACGAGAGCTATTTTTAGATTGTTTGATTAAGAGCGCCTTTATTTATTATTAGTGCTACGCTTGCCGTGTTACTGTAGTATTTTACTTAGAAAGCAAAGCAACCACTATAGATTAATAAATATGTTTCAACGAGTAACACTGGTGTATTTTGTATCTTTTTTGATATGAGTGACATTCCCGCAATAAAAAAAACATGTCCACTGGACTGATTTTCACTCTAGCTCGTCTTCGTGCCAAAGACACCACTGTCGTGTGATAAGTCGCTAATGTAAAACCACTCTTATCTATACTCTACCCTACTAAGTAAAATAAAACGATTTTTTTACAACTGTCTATTCAGTTATTCACTCTGTTCTGAGTGAGTCTGGACCTACCATAGTTGCTCAGTGAACAAAAACAAATTCAAATAATTACTTACTTTTAAAAGTTTTAAATATTACAGGCATTATAAGTTCTGGAAAATATGGTAATACAAAAATATACCAAGAATGAGTATGTAAATAGTAATTAATAAAAGACCCACTTGTCGAATGACTTATAATAATAAAAAAAATATAACTAATATGCTTAGAAAATGTTTCTAAGAACACTATCTCTACATTGGTACATGTTAAAAATTATTGACAGACCCTTGTAACAAAATTAAGAACAAAGTTATAGTTTAGTATTTTAATAATAAAATAACATAATAATAAACATAATCTAAAAATGCCATAAACGTAGGAACTAAAAAGGATCTTATTAAAAAACAAACCTAATTAGAAGTAATGAAGAACAAAGAGATGTCTATTTCAGATATTGATTTCTATTTTATAAATGGCAATGCCAGATTTTGTATTTAAGGTGGCGTCTTTTTTTTTTCGCGCGGCCATCGACCAAACTTTGTTTTTTGATTACAAAATAGTGTAATAAACCAAACTTACTATGGCATGTATACCTTTAAACTCAGTCTGAACTGAGTTACGAGCATTAGAAGTTTGATGATTTTCATACAAGATTTGCTTTTTGTGCGCAAGTTTTGTAAGAAATTGCAACAAAATATTGCGCTATTTTTTTATTACGCTGATTCTGCTCCATACTGATGTCTGGAGCCTTTAATGGATGGTATTGTTTGTTTACACATACAATCTCACTATTTTGTTGCAATTTCTTACAAAACTTTGCGCGCAAAAAGCAAATCTAGTATGAAAATCATCAAACTTCTAATGCTCGTAACTCAGTTCAGACTGAGACAGACAGACAGACAGACAGACAGAGTTACTTTCGCATTTATAATATTAGTTGGGATGTTAATCATTTATTTAGAAATGAAATGTATTTTTCTTTGACGATATTTATTGGGCTTTCAAAAAACACCAATATTGTTGGGGTACCATGATTGTGTCAGAAGAAAATCTTTAAAGTTCGCGTGTGTGTTATCATTTTTCAATGGGACAGCCATTTATTAGTATTAAAAGGGTTCATCTCGAATATTTATTTATTTATCAATTCTCTGTCTATATTACATGATCATTGGTTTTATGATAAAACCAACCTGTAGCACTCTTTTCGACAGCCCAGTTTTCTGCGCCAACTGCTTCAAGTCCTTAGCGTCGGGGTTTTGGTTGATAGCAAAGTATGACTTCATGGTCCTCAGCTGATGGTGCTTGAAGCTGGTCCTCATCCGCTTGGTGCGCTGGGAGTGGCTGGACACGCTGCCAGGAGACGCAACGGAAGACTCGTAGGCAAGAGACTCCATCGAGGACGACAGATCACCGCGGTGGAGAATCTCTGCAACAAGAGGAATGGTTAACTTTAGTCTAACTTTAATCGTGAACTGACACCAGTCGATACCTCAAATAATAATCTAAATATTATTATTTGAGGTATCGACTGGTGTCAGTTCTTAAACAGAATATCATTCATCTCACAAGAATTACAAAGCCCAGTTGCTTATTAATATTGTTGTGTGGAGTAACGATTAGTTCTTAGGAGAATAACATATTCGCAGAATCCTCGACACGAGCAATCATATAGGTCAGTCTAGTTAGATAGGTCACCTATACGGCAAGAGGTTTTAGGTCAGTCGCTAGCTGGAAACAACTCATTCTTAATTAAATCGTGGTATATTTTATTTATTAACCATGGCTTTCTAGGGCATTTTATATTGCTGGCTAGTATTGAATCAAAAACATTCACTGAGCATCCAAGTTTTTTAGAGTTTCGGAAACAATTTCGCTCAATTCCGACCACATCCCAGTTTTTCAGCGCCCAATTATCGCCGGAGCCTGGCGATGGCGGTGATAGTGGCCGGTTGTGGTCGCGCCGCGAGATGGTTTTGCTAATAGGGGAAGTAAGACCTTCCGGGGAGTAAGCCAAGTGAGACTGGGGCCTTATTCAGAAAATATACCCAATACTCTTCTTACACAATCTTAGAACCGAGTTGTCGAGAATTAATTTGCATGACACAAGTCTGCAACAAACTTATGCTAAAGCAAGACTTAATCGATGCAAAATACAGGCAGAAAAAAAAGCAAACCGAGAGTCTACACCTACATATCTACAATGTTTTTGAGCGTGTAGCTAATGAATACAGATCTTTTTTAAAACGGGCTCATCATACCATAAAACCAAATGCTAAAGCTCTGTGCTAAAGTCCTGTACTGTACCGGACGGACAAAGACAAAGGCATTGTCAGTGTTCAGAGATACAAATTGTTAATACCGATTTGACAAGAGAATAGGTATTAATACCCACCTCGTTCGTTAAAGTCTGCTGTGTAGAGCTCTCTATTTCGAACCTCACCTTTACAAAACGCCGCTTTCACGAGCTAATAATAATTGGTTCCAGGAAATTTAGGGTCAACATTAACGTTGACATTATTTCTAATTCTACGCATATTTTGCGGTATATTCTAATCTCATTTATGAGACCTCAAAGATTCCAATATACTGCAATTACTGCAAACCTACTCCATATCGAGGTAATGTTTATGAATAGGTATGGGTGAGAAACTGCCTCGCTAAGATTCACATCGATGACAATTTCTCTCAAAAAGAATAAAAAAAAAATATTAACTGTTCTAGACGAAGAATCCTTGCACAGTGCTTGTGAAGAAGTCATCATTAACACTACATTGAGAGCTAATGTTTCGCGTTTACTAAACACAAAGGTTCGTTTCAACGCAATCCAGTGTTTAAGAATCCAAAATGCAGGATACCGCAAATCTGGACCACTGGACTGTCTTGTGAACCATACTGTTAATATTCCGCAAGGTAGAAGTAGAAGTAGGTATTAATTTTATGGTGTGAACACACATAAAGTGTGTTTGAAATTGGAATCACCAATTCAAACGGCGATCCGTTTCTTTTGCGGGATCCACCACTGCAAATGGGATGATCTTGTGAACGCTAATATTAAAACACGTATACCTACTACTAAATGGGGGTCCTGCCAAAAGCATTAAGCAGCACAACCAACCCTCAAACAATAAATTTTCGTATTACTAAACCTGAATGCCGTCTATTTTGGGGTTAACTAAGCGAATTTCGACTGCAGCTGATTTAATTAGATCCCGATCGACGCGGATAATTATTAAGTCCGACCTGAAATTGCTCTTCAAGGTGAAATCCGAATTATTCAATACACCAAGCTATTGTTCAATTCAAAAGCTCACCGCTCTCAAAGTCAGTTCAATTTAGGGAGTAGTAGTGTTTCAACAAGTTTATGAATAAAAGTGTTTTGTTTTTAGATTTTATTAAAATTACAGGGTAAGTGTCATTGTTAACACTGAGTATTCCATTAATCATTATGTAGAAATGTATACCCATCTTGGTTTCAATCGCAAAATAAATTAAATTCTGAAAGTGGGTGTATCATATTGTATTCAATTAAAACACTATTACGCGCCCAACAAATATTATAAACTACAATAATTAACAAATAATAGTCAAACCTACTAAATTACAGAAGACGTTAATTGCTGACCTCGCCTTGTCAGTGCACAGACAGACAGATAATCCGTATAGATATATTTTTAGACAACGGAAGTCCAGCGCTGGTAACGGACAATTACTAACTTGCCCACTTACATGGATGTCAAAACAAATAACATAGTATGATGAATGTCTCGATAATTGGACATATTTTTGATCTAAACGATACAGAGTAAGTAACGACCCCACCGTGGTTTGACGGCCGAGCGATTTCAAACTTAATGCCCCCAACAATAAATGTCAAGGGCGTTTATTTCGATGGTATTCGGGTAGAGAGCCAGTGGGTTTTAATTTATTAATTTCTCGCCCCAAAGTACTTGGGTGGTGCATCGCCGTGTTTCAAAAACCCACCGATGCGAGTCCAGCTAATTATTAAATTCATAATTAAATATATTAGACGGTTTGAGTGATTTAAACGCGAGGGTCCGGTGGTGGCACTCAATTATTTTTTATTAGTTTTTTTGGGGAGTGGATTTGTCCGTTTGTGGATATTCGCTTTGAGGTTTCCCTCCGAAATTGGTATTGTTAAGATAAGTTATCAGAGCGGACGTTGATGGGGATATGTTTTGTATGAAATTGGTGTCAGTTGAAACGAATCGTGAGTCGTGTCATAAAAAGGTGGCTATATTGTTACTTAAGATACTTAATTGTTTTGCGATAGTTAAAATAGATTACGACTTTAGGGTGACTAAGGAATATCAATCTTTCTATTAAAAGCATATCGATGGTTTGATTACCATTAGGGTTAATTGTAATAAGAAAATCTTTGATCAGGATTCGATACACATACACAACCCACACTATTAAGAAAAAAAGAACGCAAACTACAACTTTATACTCGTACCTATGTGTAAAAATTTCTTTTCCCACAAAACTTTATGTCAACCGAATAAACCAGGTGGAAAACTAAAAATTCCTCACCGGTCCTTTAGTTGTTAAAGTTTATTGAATCCATTTCAAACATAATTCGAAGATGTATAAACTCTAGCTGTAAACTGACAACCGCGTATCTTTAATGTTTTATTTTTATAGGCAAAATTAACATGTTACCGACTTTACATTTATGCTTTTTTTTTCTCTTATAAAGCGGGTAATAAAGCATGTGGGTTGTAAAGACTTCGATATTAACGATTGGTTGTAAAAAAAAGAAGCCTGCGGGAATACATATTTTATTGCACTGATAGGCGCCATTATGTCCTGGAACAAACTAGGAGCAGTAGCGTTAGAAAAAACTAACGTTTAAAGGATATTTTTTAAAAACACATCATTGGGTTGATATTATTATTGTCGCCAGAGGCAAAACACAACGTATTTTTTTTAAATCTAATATTTCTGTTAATCAATAATGAGAACTTTAAGTAATTTGAAATCACTTAGGCTGAGTTGCACCACCTTATTTTAACCGTAATAATAACAATAACCTGTGGTTTTTGTATGGAATTTGACGTTTGTCAAAGTTAAAGTAAGATGTTGCAACTCAGCCTAACTCTTTAAAATAAACTTTAATTTTAACTTAATTTTATTTAATTTGAGAAAGCTAAAATAAACGAGGCCCACAAGGTGGACCGACGACATCACAAAGGTAGCAGAAACGCATTAGGGGAGGCCTATATTCAGCAGTGGACGTCCTATGGCTGAGATGATGATGATGATGAAGCTAAAATAAATCTCTAGTCGCTACCGCTTATGCCTTGAACGAAAGTCATAAACAAATTTTGGTAGACCTTGAAAACTGATAGCCTGTACCGCGTAAAGCGTCGGTGAGAGCGGCGCGCCACTACTGTAATATAACATAGTATCTTGATCTGTCACTAGTTATAGCACGACTTTTTGAAAGAAATATAGTAGTGGTAATGGCGGGCAAGAGTGACGATGGGTTTTAGTTCTCGTAAAAGATGAATTGGGTTGGGAAACCTTTGAAACAGTAAAGTAAATGGTGTTATACAATTCATTTATGTTTTTTTTTATCCACGACGAGGAAGCTATTGGCCTGTATCTCACCTGATGTCATCATTTACATGTCAACTATGAGTCAAATCTGTGAAATTAGTGCTTAAAATCTAACAGTTACTTAATTTGATCGCTGCAGTTACGGTCGAGACTTGTGGTCACCGCCTTTAGTTGCGGTCTCCACTTGACTTTTAACTCGCTCACCTTCTTAACGCTTAAGGCTGGGTTGCACCATCTTACTTTGACTTTAATAAACGTCAAAAATCTGTCAAACTCCATACAAAATACACCGGTTACTGTTAAAATTACGGTCAAAGTTAGGTGGTGCAACTCAGCCTAAGATTTTGCATTAACAACTTCCGTGTTTTTAAAATACACCAATAAAATACATAAATATCTTTGGACAATTTCACACAGGGTCATTCAGCCCCAAAGTAAGCAATTAATTTGCTTTTGTTATGGATGCTAGCTTAACCAATAGGTAAGACAGCAAGTATTTAGCCTCAATCATGTAATCACTGGTGCCGTAGGAATCCGGCTCGAAGGACCAAAATTAGAAACTCATTTAATTATTGAGTAGGTAGTATTCCTTCTTAATTACGCGTGATTCATAGACTAATTAGCTTGCCCCATTACATTCATAAATAATAAGGGAGAAGGAATAGTCCCCGAGAAATGAGCAATATTATTTCTTAGACGTACCTAAATCCACGATAGCAGAACCGCGGGCAATATGCTAGTTACAAAATAAATGGAGAATATTTAGTTAAGACACTACTGGGCTAGCGGTACACGCAGCAACTCGGAATGCCGCCTTATCTTTGAGCATGGATCAACTGATATCCG